TAGTTACAGAGCGACCGAACGTATCAGTGTGCGTGCGTGCGTGCGTGCTTGCGTGCGTGCGTGCGTGCGTGCGTGCGTGCGTGCGTGCGTGTGTGTGTGTTTGACATTTGTTTATAACTGATACTGGCACTCTTTGTTCTCGTCTAAGTTGCACAGATTCTGTACAAATACCGAGCATCTTCATGTGTCCCGGAGCACAGTGCCACACGTGCCGGACTAGCGATAAACGGGGCATCTGCGTGTTAATGTGCAGCGATGTCTGCACATACTGTAAAATCGAGAGGTTTAAACTACACTCACCTTAGAAACATTACCTGGAATTACACGTAAGCATGGTTTCAAAAACTGAAACTGTAATAAGCTAGGTAGTCCTGCACCATGACTGTGGAATATATTTATTTTATGAATAAAAAACACAATCTAGAAGCGTTTAAAAAAGTAAGTCCAGCCAGCTCTAGCTAGCTCAATTCCACAGCATAGGGAAATGATGTTTTTAGAGCCAAGAAGGATATTGTGTAATATAAGATTTCATAGACTAAATGTTAGTCTTTTAGCTAGGTATCAAGACGCTTTATCAAAGGGGCTTGACACAGATAATTTATGAGGTTACCCCTGTACAACAGAGCTGCCACGAACTGGGCGTGTGATTTAAGAAGCTGCCACAGTGATTTCGTCTGACGGAGTGGATTGGTGCTCGCACTTTCAATCACTGGTTTACCTAGCAGCTATGATGTTATGTCCGATTCACACAACCACTACATAATGTAAAGCTAAATATTAGGTTAGTTGATAGGGTTCAGACTTTTTTTTTCAAAGGAATACATATAACCATATATGTTAGGATAACGACTGCGTTTTCTGGACCTAATGGGGGCGGTCGGGTAGCCCAGTGGTTAAAGCGTTCGCTCGTCACGCCGAAGACCCGGGTCCGATTCCCGACATTGTGTGAAGCCCATTTCTGGTGTTCCCGCCGTGATATTGCTGGAATATTGCTAAAAGCGGCGTAAAACCATACACACTCACTCTGGACCTAACGCGATAAACTATACATGTGGGGATAATTAACAGGTGTTTGACGTTTTCTTCACTAAACTTCACATAACTGTACATGTTAGAGCAATGAACACTTGTTTGGCGGAGTTTTGGCATGCTAAACACACTAGCTTATCTGCACGTCTCAATAAACCACAGCAACGACAACAACGATATCAGCTTGATGATGATTCACTGGAGACTTACCTGTAATCAAGGCGTGGCTTTTTTACCTGTTGAACGCCGGGTTGGCAGATGACGTTATGCCGTTAGCTTGTATATTTGATATCACAAAATGTAAAAAGAGGTATATTAAACAAGTAGGCAAAGGTATCCATTGAACGATCCTTTGACGAATAAGTTGAGTGTAGGTATTGCGTAACAGGAACACAGACCTCTTCAATGTTTACTAAAATTTCGTTTTGCGATATGCGGTCAATCACGATGTCTTACTTCAGGTCTTCAAGTTCTGATCTTTCGCTATGACTCGAAGACTATATTTAAAGGGTGACCAGGCTCCACAGTCCTCTGAGAACAGCTGCACAAATCTTGGACCATAATCAGAGGGAATAGTGGATTTTAACCATCGATCATCAGTTTCTGACACACCCAAGGGACGCAACTCTGCACAGCGAATTGCAGCGCCTGAGGCGATTAGGCCACTCGAGTTTAGTGCTCCTATGCTTGTCCCAAACGGTATGTGTTTGAACAACTGGCTATGAAAAGTTGCTAATTTTGTCATCTATCACCCCAATGCCTACAATTACATGCATAAAGAGACTGAATCAAATGCTTCCTATTGTACGTGTTACTATATCTGAGTCTATAAATAAATATATGACTACATTGTAAGTTATAGGGGTTTGTGTGTTGCTGGCTACACACACCAGGCGCACTGTGACCGGGACCTCTGATTTACAGGCGACCTTCAACGTTTCCAAGAAAGCCGACTTCCCGAAGACACACGCCACATTGTAATGTACACAGTCTAATACGAAACTGATCCATGACGTGAGCAAAAAAGTCCAGTAAAATCGTGTAACAAAACACTCACTGTGTTGCATCATGTTGAGTCATATGAAGAAATATTTTCCTGTCACAGAAACAGTGGGTCACTACTGTGACACGCGACTGTATTTCTACTGTTCAGTTTCATGCGTTCATGTTTCTGAGAGTGCCAATAAGCCCCCAAATATAACGCCAACTGCTACAGCAGCTACTGAACCACCCGATCCAACTTTAAATGTTGCTGCTACTACAGGTAAAGTTACTACCAAACCTCCCGATCCAACTTTAATTGTTGCTGCTACTACAGGTAACGTTGCTACTAAAAATCCCAATTCAATTTGAATTGTTGCTGATACTACAGGTAAAGTTGCTACTAAACCACCCGATCCAACTTTAATTGTTGCTGTTACTACAGGTAAAGTTGCTACTAAACCCCCCAATCCAATTTGAATTGTTGCTGATACTACAGGTGAAGTTGCTACTAAAGCACCCGATCCAACTTTAATTGTTGCTGCTACTACAGGTAAAGTTGCTACTAAACCTCCCGATCCAACTTTAATTGTTGCTGCTACTACAGGTAAAGTTGCTACTAAACCACTTGATCCAACTTTAATTGTTGCTGCTACTACTGGTAAAGTTGCTACTAAACCTCCCGATCCAATTTGAATTGTTGCTGCTACTACAGGTAAAGTTGCTACTAAACCACCCGATCCAACTTTAATTGTTGCTGCTACTACAGGTAAAGTTGCTACTAAACCTCCCGATCCAACTTTAATTGTTGCTGCTACTACAGGTAAAGTTGCTACTAAACCACTTGATCCAACTTTAATTGTTGCTGTTACTACTGGTAAAGTTGCTACTAAACCCCCCAATCCAATTTGAATTGTTGCTGATACTACAGGTAAAGTTGCTACTAAAGCACCCGATCCAACTTTAATTGTTGCTGCTACTACAGCTAAAGTTGCTACTAAAACCCCGACCCATTTTCAATTATTGCTGCTACCATAACACCCACGTACCTGCGGCTGACACTCTCACCCCGATCCATCTTCAGCTGCTGCTGCTATTATTACACAACTAACTTTTCACTCTCATCCCAACTCCATCTTCAACTGCTGCTGCTGCTACTATCACACCACCTAACTCCCCCGTGGCTCTCTGTGACGCTATGACCCTAACAGCCCCCACAGAACACGGCTTTATGAAATAATGTTTGTACTTAAGGCCAACATATCTTGACACCTGACGTAGGAAACAAACTGACAGTGACTCACTGTTCCTCCCATCGGGAACTAATGACAACGATATGTTCCATTAACAGGAAACCTACTGAACCATGAAATTAGGTGGTAGCTAGTGTTCTGAAGAAGGTACATTCACTTCTGTGGGTCACAATGGTTAAATAACGACCGATGTTAAGGCTATCATGTCGACCAGTACATCTTCCTAGTGGTACGTTAAAGATGAATGGTGGGAGGGTTCGGTTTTAGAATTTGTGTCACGACAGTCTGTTTGCTCGGAAAAAAGCATTGAAAATAAACGTAACCTGGGCAAGACATATGACGCTTTCAAGATTCTCGAGACAGACAATGCTAAACTGGTGTCAATGAGGGGTTGCTTGATGGGAGTGAGTGAGTTTGATTTAAAGCTACTTTGACCTGTATTCCAGTTATATCAGGGCGGGACAACTACATGCCCGGATAAAGACCGGATTGATGCAGGTCTTAGACATTTACCACATTGGTGCAACCCACAAACAAGGGTGTGGTGGTGTCAAACCTGGAGTCATTATGGAGAATCTGGGATTCGAACCTGAATTTATCGGATCCTGACACGGCCATTTATGAAGTAAACATTTCTGAAATGTTAAATTTGTTTCAAATAAAACCTAAATCCCCAAATAACAACTCAAACGATCACATATCACAATGTGTGACACAACCGGCGAACAGGCAAAAGCGACGCTTTTTGTGTGATAAAACCCCCAGAAATTTGGACGGTAAAGCGAATATTTACACGGAGCGTGTCGGGCCCACGAGGGTGGTATGCCAAAAAATCCCGAATCAGTCTCATCTACACGACCTCATTTTGTCAGTCAGCTCCTATTTCCGTGAAGGGACATAGCTGTGCCAACATATGGTGTGATGACGTGATATAATACAATACCACATTTTTCTTTAGTTTTTAGCCTCAAACGGCCGCATTTGGCCTTTGATCTTCGTGTACCAGCTGACCTTAAGTGACCGGACACTGAAATAGGGGCATCGACAACAAGAAATGAAACCCGTTTCTTATGCACCGTGGCACTTTACAAGGAGTGGGAGATAAGTGCCATCATCATATCATGACCTACTTATCATCATAATGACCCTCCTCCCTTGATGATTTCATTAGTCATATATCACCGTAAGTTCTAACATGTGTACACACGCTAGTCAGTGACGGTTTAAAGCAGCGTTTAAGTGTGGACTAGTAACGGTTTAAAGCAGCGTTTAAATGTGGAACAGAAACGGTTTAAAGCAGCGTTTAAATGTGGAACAGAAACGGTTTAAACCAGCGTTTTAATGTGGCCCAGTAACGGTTTAAACCAAATCATGACTGTGGAATTATTGGGGTGGTGGTGTTGGTGGTGGTCGGGCCGGTGGTCGAGACGGTGGTGTTGATGGTGGTGTGGGTGGTGTGGGTGGTAATGTGGATGGTGGTGTGGGTGGTGGTGGGGCTAGAGTCGGGTTGGTTGTTGGGGTGGAGTATGAGGGGTTGGTGATGTGGTCGATGGTGTGGGTGGTGTGGATGGTGGTGTGGACGGTGGTGTGGCTGGTGGTCGTGGCGGTGGTCGAGACGGTGGTGTTGTTGGTGGTGTGGGTGGTGCTGGGGCTAGAGTAGGGTTGGTTGTTGGGGTGGAGCAAGAGGGGTTGGTGATGTGGTCGATGGTGTGGACGGCGGTGTGGGTGGTGGTGGGGCTAGTGTAGGGCTGGTCGCTTGGGTGGAGCAAGAGGGGTTGGTGATGTGGTCGATGGTGTGGACGGTGGTGTGGGTTTTAGTATGGACGGCGGTTTGGGTGGTGGTGGGGCTAGTGTAGGGCTGGTTGCTGGGATGGAGCAAGAGGGGTTGGTGATGTGGTCGATGGTGTGGACGGCGGTGTGGGTGGTGGTGGGGCTAGTGTAGGGCTGGTCGCTGGGGTGGAGCAAGAGGGGTTGGTGATGTGGTCGAGACGGTGGTGTTGTTGGTGGTGTGGGTGGTGCTGGGGCTAGTGTAGGGCTGGTTGCTGGGGTGGAGCAAGAGGGGTTGGTGATGTGGTCGATGGTGTGGACGGCGGTGTGGGTGGTGGTGGGGCTAGTGTAGGGCTGGTCGCTGGGGTGGAGCAAGAGGGGTTGGTGATGTGGTCGATGGTGTGGACGGTGGTGTGGGTTTTAGTATGGACGGCGGTGTGGGTGGTGGTGGGGCTAGTGTAGGGCTGGTTGCTGGGATGGAGCAAGAGGGGTTGGTGATGTGGTCGATGGTGTGGACGGCGGTGTGGGTGGTGGTGGGGCTAGTGTAGGGCTGGTCGCTGGGGTGGAGCAAGAGGGGTTGGTGATGTGGTCGATGGTGTGGACGGTGGTGTGGGTTTTAGTATGGACGGCGGTGTGGGTGGTGGTGGGGCTAGTGTAGGGCTGGTTGCTGGGATGGAGCAAGAGGGGTTGGTGATGTGGTCGATGGTGTGGACGGCGGTGTGGGTGGTGGTGGGGCTAGTGTAGGGCTGGTCGCTGGGGTGGAGCAAGAGGGGTTGGTGATGTGGTCGATGGTGTGGACGGTGGTGTGGGTTTTAGTATGGACGGCGGTGTGGGTGGTGGTGGGGCTAGTGTAGGGCTGGTCGCTGGGGTGGAGCAAGAGGGGTTGGTGATGTGGTCGATGGTGTGGACGGTGGTGTGGGTTTTAGTATGGACGGCGGTGTGGGTGGTGGTGGGGCTAGTGTAGGGCTGGTCGCTGGGGTGGAGCAAGAGGGGTTGGTGATGTGGTCGATGGTGTGGACGGTGGTGTGGGTTTTAGTATGGACGGCGGTGTGGGTGGTGGTGGGGCTAGTGTAGGGCTGGTCGCTGGGGTGTTCGTGGTGAGGGTTGAATGAACTGATTAGCAGTGTCAAGCTGACCTGCCAGCCAGGTGATCAGCTTCACCGACAAAGCAGCTGTGGGGACTGAAGGAATCTATAAATAACAACTCTCCAAAGAAACACCTTCAAATTCCTTTTCTTCATCTCTTTACAGGTAACCATTGATGTATAATAATCTTGAACAGGCTTTACAAAGACCATTTCCTTTTTAGTTAACATGCACAGCAATCACGAAAAGTTGGATACTCGAGTTGAAACGATCGAGCCAATCAAGTGTTCGATGACGCCGCCACGAGTCTTGGTTTGGTTCTGTACATCTATGTTTGCGTGTAACCACGACTATTTTTTGTTCTTTCTTCCAGGACGTAACCTTGAAATATCACCCGGTATTCTACCAATTTCTTAAAGTCAATCTAAAACTTTATGTCAGGCGGTGTTCTTCGCCGCGACCTTCACGTAATCTGTTAAAACGGTATAAAACCAGTAATAACAGTAAACGTTTGGCTAATGTTCTGTAAAGGTAGGGAGCTTCGGTGGCCCACTGGCTCTGGGATTCTCTGTGCAGAGTTATGTCCCTTAGGATCCGCTGATCGTCGGTTCGAATGTGCAGGACTGTCAGCACCATAGCTATGCTCTTGGGTGTCATATAACTGGAAAACTTCTATGACCTGAGAGTGTTGGCTTTCCTTCATTGTTTATTTTACCTGATATAACGGAAATACTGCTCCAAGAAGCGTTAAGACAAACCCGCCTCTTCATGATACACACGTATATCCGACGACGACGACGACAACAACAACAACAATAATAATGATAATAATGCCTATTTTCCATCAATAATGTACCGAACGTCGCTCACAATATATACGACCCGTGAAGATTCCGGGGTAGAATAGGTCTTCAGCAACCCATGCTTGCCGTAAAAGTCAACTATGCTTGTCGCAAGAGGCGACTAACGGGATCGGGTGGTCAGGCTCGCTGACTTGGTTGATGCATGTCATCGATCCCAATTGCGTGGATCGATGCTCATGATATTAAGCACTGGTCTGTCTGGTCCAGACTCGATTATTTACAGACCGCCGTCATATAGCTGGAATATTGCTGAGTGTGGCGTAAAACAACAAACCAACCAAATAATCACAATATATACAACGGGTACACAAAAGAGAGGCTGTACGGTACAGGTCAACACTGACAATGTTGTTAATCGTAGATCACTGTCGTCTCACAGATCTCCAATGGGCATCAAAGCTAACCTTACGCCAACCGTACAGCAGACATCGTTTCTCAACAGTACATATTGGTGAGGCCCAAACTATTTCTAGACCTGATGTTACAATATCACCTGACATATGATTTAAGTTTCGTTAAATACTTCAATACATTTCATAACAAATGTGTCACAAGGTTGCTTCTTATGGTTGCTTCTTAAAATAACGCTCAAGCCCTTCAGAGAATCAGTAGTCAGCAAAAACATTTACCAATGCCGTTAAAACGTTTAAGTGCTTTTTTGAACAGACGGAAGTTTGACTCAGCAATTTTGGAGGGGAATGAGTGAAACATGACCTTTGTTCTCCAAGACTGACTTGGACAATGTTTATCCTAATCATCTGTCAAACATGGCCACTGACAATCTCCACAGCAGTTAAAACGCCGCCGTGTATAAGTTTCAAATTTAACTACACAGAGGTTTGAAAACAGGCTGCATCGTTACGAGACAAAAAGAAAATGACTATTCCTTAATATCTTAATCTTATTTACTGAGCACAGCGTCACGAGCTCATCTCTACGGCCAAGACAGTTTATCACCGGAACGAGTTTAATGAAATGATCATGCACTTCAAACACTCTGAATGAACTGAAATAAAGTGCGGCCCTGTAATGTTAGCGTTTCTTGGCACAAGGCTCCAGAAGTTGGTAAGGATGTAAGAGGGAGCGCCTATGTCGGTGTATGGAGTTTGCTGATGAATGACTCTAATAGTACCTCGTTCGGCGTCATGTAAATCTCTTTATTCTGTTTTTAGTTGAATAGATTCTTTGCAAATATCAAGCAGCTGCATGTTTTTGAGCCCATTAGTAAGGGCCTACTGACAACACGTGCTATAACTCGTCGGGCTAGCCGTAGACTGGGATTATGTCTACTAAGCGCAAACCGTTCCACTAATTACCAAAGAAATGTTGTGTGTGTTAACATGTTCATGTAGTTGGTATTTTATGATTTCCACTAAATTCGATCAAGCTAATGAATCCTTGTTTTCAAACCATGATATCTTGTATCTAATTATACAATTGGCAACTGCAACAATCTACCGAGTGCCAATCCGGCTCTATCGGAAGCACTGGTAAACTGTCTAACCTCACCAACAATACCAACGCAGGTCACAGTGCCAAGTTATGAACATCATCAAAAAGCTGTTTTTGTAGATGTCCACTACAGATGAGTGATTGAAAATACATTATGTACAACGCATCGAAGACTAGCATCAGATGCCGCAAGATGCATAATCTGAAGTCAGACGTATGAGAAGTGAGTGAGTATGGTTTTACACCGCTTTCAGCAATATTCCACCCATATCACGCGGAGGACACCAGAATTTGGCTTCACACATAGTACCCATGTCGGGAATCGAACCCGGGTCTCGGGCGTGACGAGCGAACGCTATACCTACTAGACTACTCCACCGCCCCCAGACGTATTGGGCCTCAGGGAGACGCGGAACTGAGCAGAATGGGACCTAGAGGGCTTGGGTATACGTATAATTGAACTCCTCATGAAGGAATTGTGGGACAGTAGCGAGCAGGAGGGCTAAGTCGTATGAAGCGCCGCAAATCGGAATGCAGAGTTGCGACCCTTGGGCGTGCCAGAATACTATAGCCGTGGGTTCAAATCGTGGATTCGCTATTATGTTTGAGGTTCGTCCTGTAAGGGCCAGAGAACCGTGGAACCGAGTCACCGGTTAAAGTTAGTCATCAAATGGTACCAAAAGACTGGAGCTTAAAGACATTAGGTCACGCATGGCATATACCTGGTTCCTAAACACTGTAACCCGTGTCCAGTAGTGGTACACCCGTGCTGACACACTGTGATATATATGAAGGACTGTTCACATTACAGTAAACTACGTTTATAACGAACACGCTTATAACGAACTGACAGATATACAGTAAACTACGTTTATAACGAACACGCTTGTAATGACTCACATATATCCTGTAAACTACGTTTATAGCGAACACGCTTATTACGAACTGACAGATATAACGAACTTATGTTTTGGTCCCGGCCATTTGCTGTATATGTGATGTATGTATGCATATAACGAACAGCGGTTATAACGAACTAAAATTAGTGGTCCCTTTGAGTTCGTTATAATCGTAGTTTACTGTAACGAACTACTTTTTGGTCCCGGCCATTTGATGTATATGTGATGTATGTATGCATTTAACGAACACCGGTTATAACGAAGTAAAATTAGTGGTCCCTTTGAGTTCGGTATAACCGTAGTTTACTGTACTTGTTACACCTTCCAGACCGAGAGAGCTGGGATGGGTTCCAGGCCCTGGGTTATAGGCCATTTTACATCATAGATTCCAAGAGATATCAAATTTATTCATAACTGTTGATGTTGATGTGTTTTTCGTTAATACAACGCCCATATATTATAACCCAAGATTCGATTATGATTCACGGGTGATCCAAATGACAGGCAAGTTACCTGTAATCAAGGCGTGGTCGGCCTACCTGTACAAAGCTACACAAGAAGCACACGGGTTTCGACAGGTGGGTAACTTGCAGCGTCATATTCCTTTGTGACACTAACGTGTTTATCTAACGTGACAAAACGGGAATGGGGTTAGACTGAAAGGTAAGGTGAAATCTGTGATCCGTTCACTTAGACTGGGACTCGTTCACACGGTTAACAAGTAAAAATGCATACGACATGATATCTTCTCTGTGTGAAAATCAGTTTTTACATTACAATTTTATAAACGTTCGCAACGTGATAAAATCGTTCGTGTATTAGTGAACGTTACTTTTATTATCCAAATTGTGTGTGACTGGCGGGTGCTATCGGGACAGCAGGACATGCTTACTGTTTCGGAAACACCTCGTGTCATCACTGAATTTCAGTGATCTATTCCTTTTAGTCCATCTTCCCGAGGCAGGGTTGTTAACTGACTTTAAACGTCCAGTTTCCATCCTTGCCGAACTTGGCTGGAATTCCTGGGCTCGATCGTAGCGCCACCAGTGGCTGTTACAAAT